AATTTATTTCTAAGGTAAAATATTCTGTGTATTAGATACAAGGTCGGTGCCAGCAGATAGTTTTTAGTATTTTGAAAGACGATTCGAACACAGTTGAGATCACCCCGATCCATTTAGTCGTTGCTGAGATTGATTAATTTGAAATTATCCAATTTTCATAAATAAAGAATTTTTAAAAATCAATAATGCAAAATTTCGCGAAATCCAGAAATTACTTTTTTTATATTGACCCTGCGCACAAATTCCAAAAATCAGATCTTGCCTACATATTATAGTTTTTAAGTTATTGGTGGACAGGCATATCTACCGTTCCCCTTATGTCCCAATAAAATTGGGCATACCGATGGATTGGTGCCAAAAAACAATAGTTGCAATTTTTATTATTTTGTTCTAGCTCTATTCTACGATTTTTAATGCTAAATAAACGACTACGCACCCTTTTGTCAAAAGCTTTATATACTATGATATATTACTGCATAAACATAGTATTCTAAACAATATGAATTAACTTAAAACTTTAAAAGGGTTGCACTTGCAACTGATTTATATAACAAACCATGCTTAGAATATTCCAAAATTTATTATTGATAAAAATAATATAATAAAATTTTGCTAACAAGTTAAATATTAGTGAACAAAATAAAATAACTTTTAAACACAGATATGATACAATAAATTTGTTTTATTTAGGTATATATAGTAATTAGATTATGGTGCTTACGTTAAATTGAGTACAAATATATGATTAATATCTATAAAAATAAAATATAATTCTATATTAATATGGTTTTTGTAACTAACCATGTTAAGATTGTTTATAAAAGTGGATAAAGTCAATAATGTTTACATTGGTTTATGTAACTAAATAAAAACATTTGCATGATAAATGCTATACACTGTATAGTATACTGTATAGTATACAGTATATAATTAATTTTTAGATAATGGTGTTTATTTTCAATTGAATAAAATTATGTTATTATAAATTTCAAAATATAGAATATTTTATTATTAAATAATTATTTATAAAAGTTATGTAAAATATTAGCATAATAAAAATATTAATTTTAGTTTTTGTTACATAAAACTTTGTATTTACGAGATAACTGTAAGCCACAAAGTAGTAATAACATACCAGCCCTGTTTGCAAACATAAATAGGATCGTAAATATAAACGTTTATTTTTAGGTGGTCAATTATAACGAGTTTATTAAATTAATTTTATAAAATATAAATTATTTATTTCTATAAATTTTATGAACTGAAAGCTAAAAATGTTTTGTTATTATTGATATTTATTTTGATAAAATTGTTTTACAAATGCTATTTAAAGTATTTTTTGATAGTACTTGTTAAAAATGTTTACTGTATTTTATTGATATATTGAAAAATTCAAACTTATCTGTATAATTTATACAATTGGCATAAACGCAAAATATTTGTCTGTATAATAAATTATTATACATTTAAATACCGGTACTATTATCAGTAATAATATCTTAAAATAAATTTGAGACTCTTTTCATATTTACGTTATATATTTTACTTATTGCCAATAAGTTATTGGTAACTAGTTATTGTAAACTAGTTATTACTAGTTATTTTAAATTTGAAATTTTATAAGTTTTATTAATAAATTAAATTCCTAAAACATTACATAATAAAATTATTTAAAAATTTGTTTAAATTTAGTTATACGACAATAATTGTAAGTTTAAATTTCAACTTTAACTCTAACGTTATGTAAAAGTAGTTAAATTTTGTTTGTTTTAAATTGACACTGTCACGTAAGCCATAAATGTATTCACAACATACCAGCCCTAATACAGTACCCCACAGTACTGTGAATAGTTTGAGTGTCGGAAACAACACATTTTAAAGTGTAAATTAAATATTTAATTGTATTTTTAAGTGTATGTTAATTGTTAGCAGGGTTTTATAGCAACTATGGATAAACCGGAAGTACGGACCAGATTTATGCAAAACATGGGCCAATTCCTACCACTCGTCTCATTGAGTCCATTGTTTATGACACTATTGGAAAACCATACCTGTGCTCATAACCTAATCAGGACACTACAAGTATACTATTTTAATTACAGTATATTTATTTTGAATGTTAATTGTTAAAAATTTTTTCAACAAAATGGCTTGACTCTGAAACATTTTAATTAATTAATTAAATATATTTAATATCTCTAATAGCAGTTCAGAGTTAAAACATTAAGTTCTAAGTCACAACATCTGACTATAATTAGTATCAATATTGATTCAATACTATAAGCCAGATCAATTTGAAACACGGTGCTCGTAATAGTTTGATTCTGATATATAATAACTTATTTTTAATAGATAAGTATGCATAAGTTGACAAGTACTCACTTGTTGTATATGATCAGAGTCAAAACATTAAGAGCATTTGCTTCAAATTGATCTGGCTTATATCAGATGCATTTTAGCAAATTAAACTTAAAACACGTGATTCATAGGGCATTACCGATATAACCGCGAAAAAGGTGTTCATATTTACTGAATTTAACCGGGATCGTAATGCGTGCAATGAGCTGGTTGACTTTCTCAGAAGGTCCGACCAACCTGACGCCGCCCGGGAGCTGGAGCTCTACAATCAGTCGACAGCACCTCTCGTATACTCACAGGATGTTAGGCTAACCGTTAAGAAGGCCCACACCTTCCGGTCAGGCAACACCCGTTGGTTCGTTATGGACGGCGCCCCCAGGGGTCAGGTGTTGTTGTTTTTGCAGGAGCCTGACTTGCAAAATGAGGCAGATCGTTTTGATGACCTCTTCCAGAAGCTATACTTCTCTGTCAATATCTATAGAAATTCTTCGTGCGATCAGATTGTGGACACTCTTAAGACTGCCTCCGAAGGGGAGTTCAAAAAAGATGCGCTGATTGTGATGTTCATAGGCCATGGTCGCGATCAGATGGTCCAGGGTAACGGTCCCAGCGATGAAATACACATCAAAAAGCTGGTCGACTTGTTTTCTGAGAATAAATGCCATGATACTCTTAAACCGAAGCCCAAAATCTTTGTGTTTAATTGCTGCAGATTCTGTGAGTGTAACCTAGCTCACTTTTTACTTAATTACTGCCAAATATAAATATGGGAAAATTCAATTAGTGCGTAAGCAATTGTGGCTATTAATTATAGTTCACTTTCGTAATCCTTTCATATATTAGGATAGTATTGAAAAAGTGAATTTTCCTTGCTTACCTTTATCAAATACATAGGTACTAATTGAACTAACCCTACCTATATTTATGAGAAAACAAATTACCTTGTTGTTATTATGTAGACACTGGTGTCAATCCGCAAGAACCAGTGGTGGATAGGGAGTGGATGGATGGCACCACTCGCACCTTCATATGCTATGCCTGTGCCGATGGTAATCTAATCATGGTTCATTTGAAATTATTATTAAATATTTAATTTTACGGTTTATCATTTATAAAATATGATTAGGTACTGATTCCTTTTATACCGGCAATGGATATACATTATATGGACAGGCACTCAGCCACTGTATTGCCGAATACGCACACGACTTGAATTTGACACAAATATTTCACAAGGTGTGTTTGAAAAATTTATATATTAGTTATAACTATTTAATTAACCGCATTTATTATTATATAGACGTGCGATGAGATGAACAGGGAAATTATACAACAACGTCCGGAGCTGATTATGAAAAACGTGGACAGGGACTTGTATTTTAACCCCGGTCTCTATAAAGACAAATAATTGCTTTACAAGTTTTGATCAATATATGAATAATTGATATTAAAACATAACATATAGTAATAAAAAGAAATAAACATTAAATTTGTTGGAATTAAAAAAGTGTTTATAATATAATAATATGATTATTTTAATTCCAGTCATTCGCCCGAATATACTGTCATAATAACATATATAAATACCACACAAATTAACTACAGTATAATCCCTCTATTTTGGTTATGTTAAGTATATTTAAGTTTGGTTAGGTTAGTCTAGTGAATTTTGATTAAAGGTAATTATGATTATTTTTATATCACATGAATTTCGGGCAAACTTTATGGTAAGTGCTTTTAGCCAAATAACTGAATTTCATTATTTTAATTGTTTAAAAGTTTACTTAAATATACTTTATATTAGTAAATTATAAATTAATAGTATATTTATATAAAATTACACCTGAACTTAAATACTGTATTTGTTACAAAAATTTATCAATAAATTATAATATCTAATAGTTTATAATTTTGAAAGAATATTCTTCGCATACAAGTTAGTGTCTACATGTCTAATAACATTAATAAAAATTTTAATACTATTGTAAACCTATGAATTTATATCAAACACAGTTTATTTATTATCACAATTATCAGTAAATTATATGAAATAGTCGTTGTGTTATAAAATTATATCATTAATTATTATTAGTTATTAATTAAACACTAGTATTATATCACTACATTCAAAGATAATTGTATAATACGTAAATGTTAATATTCATTTATAAAGGTTAATAAATTAATATTTATATCTACTCAAACAAACCCCACATATTAATAAGCACAACTCAAAAAATATAACGGTTTTCCAATATGATTAAAATGCCTTTCAATATTCTAACGTTTATTTTGCAAAATTAAAACCGTATTTATGAAATATAATTGTCGCATTATGATAAAATACAACTAAAAAATGATAATATAATTTGTCTGAATATAATCTTTAAGCCTTTATATGACTCCTATTATATGAATTGGACGGTATGTATAAGAATATCTTATCATAAAAGCCCACATAATATGGATATTTATAACGTATAAAACAATAAGTAAGGCGTTTGCATAAACTTTGAACATTTTACTTTTAATAAGCGAGTGTCGCGACTTTCACTATTAAACTGCTAAACAGAAATTTTTGTATTAATATTTAAAACTTGTTCTAATTTGTACGCCACAATGGATAAGCCTGAAGTGAAAGTAAAATTCATGCAAAACATCAACAAATTCATACGACTCGTCACATTGAGTCCAATGTTTATGAAGCTATTAGAGAGTCATACGCGGGCTCATGATTTTATGGACGCATTAAATGTAAGTGATTTTATAATTATTTTTAGGGTTCATTAAATAAGTACCTACGCACTGAGTAGGGAAGGGCAATTAAACCAAGGGAAACGCATTTATGAAATGACCCTAGATTTTTAACATTATATACGAATTATCACTTAATTGATCTTGCTCGAAGGATATTTCGGAAGCCGATGTAACCGCGAGAAAGGTCTTCATATTCTGGGCGTTTGCCCAGGATCGTAAGACGTGCCATGAGCTTGTTAACTTTCTTAAAATGACTGAACAACACGATGCCGCCCGGCAACTGGATGAGTACAACCAGTCGTTCTCACCCATCATATACTCGCCCGATGTTAAGCTAACCGTCAAAAACGCAGATACGCTTAGGTCGGGCGACTCACGTTGGTTCAAAATGGACGGCTCCCCCAGGGGGCGGGTATTGCTATTTTCGCAACTGGCTGTCCTAAATAAAGAGCGAGATCGTTTTGACCACCTGTTTCAAAATCTGTATTTCTCGGTCAAAGTCTATAATAATTATTCGTGCGATCAGATTGTGGAGACCCTTAAGGAGGCCTCGCAAGAGAGTTTCGAAAAGGATGCCCTAATTGTGATGTTTATAGGTCATGGCCGCGATCAGATGATCCGGGGTAATGATGAGGGTGAGGGTCCAACCGACATACACATCCAGGAACTCGTGAACCTGTTTTCCGATACTAATTGTAATCCTACTCTACGAGACAAACCGAAGATTTTTGTGTTTAATTGCTGCCGAATTAGTGAGTGCACCATGCTTATTACTTTGTATATGCATTTATATTTAATTTATAAACCCATTTTATTTATTATTAACCTAATTTAAAATATTATTTGCTAATAATTCCTACCTGCTAATGCAAAAGCATTTGTAATATTTATTTTAGTAAGTTTATAATAAATTATTAATCACATTAAGATTTACTTATTAAAAATGATGTTGATCATGAAAGGGTATTATACATTGTAATTTTTTAAATCTATTAAATGTACTCATGGTGTTTAATTGAAATTTTTTAAAACATTTTGTGTTAAATTTTGAACTCGTTCAAAACCTTTATAAGCAAATTCATTAGATTTATGCACTTTTCTAGCAAGTACCAAACACAGCTATTTAGATAATTAATTTATTAATAAATAAATACCCTTTGTTTAGACACCGATCATTCAGAAACGAGTCCTCATATGGATAATAAATGGGTGGATTGCACCACTCGCACCTTCATATGCTATGCCTGTGCCAAGGGTAGTCTCATTAAATTATTTTATAATTATTTTCATTTGATAAATATTAATTTTTTATATTTTGAAGGGGATTCAACATTTTACACCGACAATGGGTACACCATATATGGACGGGCGTTCAGCCACTGTATCGCCGAATACGCGTGCAGCTTAAGCTTGACAGAAATATTAAACAAGGTTAACTGTTAACTTTTAAATTATCATTTTTAATTAGCTTTAAAGACAATAATTGTGTATTTTATTGTTTAGACATGCGATGAAATGAGATTGTACGATGATGATGTTAAACATCGCCCGGAGTTTATTTTGAAATGTGTTGACAGGGCGTTGTATTTTAATCCTGGTCTTTATAAACAAAAATAAACATATTAATTGATTATTGACCGTATGGTGGAGCTAATATTTCAGTGCCTCAAATAAGTCAGTTCATGGGACTTTTATTTTTACCCGGCTCTTTATGGCAAACCCCCAAATTATGTTTTAGATGTCAACTACTTTTAAAGCAATTTTTATTAATATATTATTATTTAGTCTTATTTTTATGAAAAATAAATCACTAATTTGTAATATTATTATGAATTGAAAGCTAAAAATGTTTTGTTATTTAGCATGATAAAAATGATTTTAAATGAGAGGAAAGTACTAGAAATCATTGAAATTATAATGCTTTAGTTTAACAATAAAATCAGTTTAGTTTATTAAACATTTAATTTAATTGATAAAAATAGGAAATTGACCAGGAAAATAGGAAATACTTAATATTTACGGAATATATGCGGGAACGGGATAATTGGACAAGGTTGGCCCAAATATTGGACGAATCCGGGCAAAGGGAGGCAATAAGGATAAGTTGTGAGTATTTAATAGTCGGTAAAACTGCGAAACTTTTCGTATAACACTCATCTAACTGTGGAAAAAGCGATCGGGCTCAAATCGGGAGCCTATACAATTAATTACCCAATTAGAATTAATATACCGCACCTTGTTAAATATTTGTATCAGATTACAGTCACACGCGTATTGAGCGATACAATGGCTAAAAATCTGACCAAATATTGTGAAACCACCAGGGATAGGCCATGCCTCTTGGTCTAAATATTTTATAACAAGACAAATAAAAATAAATTAACTTGCTCAAAATATAAAGTTAAAATATGCAAATATACCTTCAGCACAGGTATAGCAAATGTAGGTGCGGGTATCTCAGGCTTGAAAGACCGCAATTTTAATACTCTTTTATGACTAGTCATTTTAGGGGTTAAGTATTAGGTGTTTATATTGAGTAATTAATTCACGGGGAAATTAGTTTTATGGAAATATTACTTACCTGACCCTTATGAATGACCATTACACATTTTTGTGAAAGCTATGTTCAGTTTAAAATAATCAGAGTTTTTACAGAAATAGGTGAACATATTATACGTTAACTTAAAAACATTAGTATTGAAAACAACAACTAACACTAATACTAATTTTTGTATTATAAAAATATTCATCTTGTTTTTTGTAATATATAAATGAATAAATAATAACGTTATTTGTAACCCTGTCGAATATTCTATAGTATAAATTTTAGTTAAAAATAAGTCTAAACCTGAAAACACTCCATAACGCCAAGCTTTTGGGAGTCTG